AGAAAGTTTGAAGCCCCGGGGCTTCATAACCATTACCAGTGCTCTTACCCATGAACATTAAAAAGTGCACCAAATACCCCTGAACAATTTGAATCATTGCACCGTTCGTCCTAAAATGCTAGTTAGGAAGTGTGTTGCTCCCACGCACGAGAATTGCAAGTATGATTTATTTGGCTTTGTGAATTTTTCAAAATACCCTTCTCCAACATTATTGTCTTTATTTAAATTTTAAAGAACAAATCGTGCAATCTCCGAAGAATTCGGTGAAATTTGGTGCATTTTTTGATGTTCAGGGGTAAATCGTACAATTTATGAAGAATTTGGGGGTATTTGGTGCACTTTTTAATGTTAAGAGGTAAACCATGCAATTTTTGAAGAATTCAGGGGTAAAAGGTGCACTTTTTTCTTAAATTAAATAACTTTGTATTTACTTTAAAAGAAATAAGTGTAAGAAGTTTTTTTGAATAATAAAAATAAATTAAATGAAAAAAAAGTTTCAACTTTAGGTATTTGTGGGAATTCTATAACTCGGCATTCCGCATTTTTTTAATTGAAAAAATGGTTTATGGGTTGATTCCGCAAATTTTATATGGAATGTTAACAGCAGAGAACATATGTTACTTTGGTTTGGTTGGTGTAGTTTGTGTTAGACAATAATAATAAAAGTAATAATAATATTAATAATAATACTTATGGTAGTGTGTTTTGTGTTCAAAAAAATGGTAGTAGACCTGGGAAAAAAATGACCCGGCCTGTTTTCTTCCAGAAATCCGACTTGAAAACACTGGGTTTTGAACAAAGGTTTTGATGACCAAACCCGAAATGACCCGCTAAAAATGGTCAAATCTGACCGAATCCGAACCCGATCGGACTGACCCGCTAAATTAAGAGTTTTTCAAAATCATACACTTTACTACTCGTTTTGACTGTATAAATTTATATTTTCAAACAAAATTTTAAACATATTGTATAATTATCTTACTTTTTTCTAAAACTTAAGCATTTTTTTAAATTCCTTATATTGATTTATATATCTAAAAATTACTTTAAAATTTAAAATAAAATAATCTAATAGATTTAATGCCTATTTTTTGATATTTTAAATTTATTTAATACAAAATATAAGTTTTAATGTGAATTTAAAAATTTAAAAAACCAAAGTCATAACCCATTGGGTCGACCTGAACCTGATGACACTGTGTCATGAACACACAGTTCACAACCCGGACCCGATTTGACCCGAACTCAAAATAATCCGAACTCGAAGTTACTGAACCCGAACGCTACATGACTGACCAATTTCCCAGCTCTATATGGTAGTACTCCGTATTACTTATGGCAGTCTATGTTTATTAGTCAGCTTCTATTATTGGCTTGATTCATGTTTCTATTCAGAATATTTTTTATGTATACTCTTTATATTCTCCATTATTCTTGAGTAAAAGCCTATTATTTTATTATTATATCATTTTTGAATAATATGCATTTTAAGATAGGTATGGTAATGTTACATTAACCTCGAGTGAATTAAGAATTGAATATTTCGGTAACCAATCACTCATGGTTGGGATTGTATTTATTTTAGAATAACATTAGTTGGTAATTACCCGAGTATGAACAAAAAAAATATAAGAGCGGTGATTCTTAATGATTTTATGAATAAAAATAAGACCCATTGGTTTAGGCTCCGTTTGGCATCAGCGTTAGCGTTTTGAAAAGGCTATCCGACGGTAGCCTTTAGAGTTAGCGTTTTCGGAATTAATCTACACCATTAAAATTTTATTCAAAACGCTACGCTAATCAAAAACGTTGTTCCCAAACAAAGCCTTATATTACTTCATTTGCTTTTAAAAGCTTTTGTAATCCTTATGTGCATATTCATTTTAAAGACCTTAAAACATAAAATGTTACGGAATAATAGGCATTTGACCTTAAAAAAAGAAAGGCATCTAAACTATGAGTTCCTGAAAAAATTGTGACAAGACTCGCATTTCATATTTGGATCTTAAGACCACAATATACAACTTTTGTTTTAAAATAAGGTTAAACAATACATATAACTAGTATTAACCTCATGTTTTGCTCGTGCTCGTAGATGATCTGACCAAAATTGAGAAGCAAAAAATATGCCTTAAAAATAAGTTGGTAAGGCATATCTATTTTTTTAACTTATTAGCAACTTATAAATCAATTTATAAATACATAGCCCGAGTAAAAGAAATACCCACTATATGTGTTTATATATATATATATATATATATATATATATATATATATATATATATATATATATACACATATATATATATATATAATATTTCAAATATTAAAAATACGTTTCTAAAAAATTGTTTACTTTTTAAAATGTTTTGCCACGTGTGCATAGTATACATAAAATAATTATTATTTTATTGATTTATTAAAAATATTCACTTTCTAATATTAAATTACCACTATCTTTATTAAAATTTTGTAAAATCATTCACTTTATAAAATTAAATACTATGTAATCATTATTTTTATTAGTATTTTTTATAAAACTCTTCACTTTCTAACTATTATGAAAATATCTATTTCATTATTATAACATAATTTTAAACATGCATAATTAAAAACAACTCCACAGTATTTTATATACTTTTAAAAAGAATCCACCTTTTATTTTATTGTTTCTACCATTTATCTTTTATCGCATACTCCGTATTTTATACACTATATACTCTCCCCGTCCCCAAAAGATTATTATAGTTTAACTTTTTTAGTCAAATTTTGCTACACTTTTACCACAAATATATGAAAATTGTATATTTTGTTACGGAGTATAATGTAATGTTAGAGTAAAATTAGATTCATTTTAAAATATAGTTCTGATATATTAATTTTTTATAAAATTTAATTATTTAAAACTATATTAAATTTGTAGTCAAAGTGTGTTTGAACAAAAAATCAACTGTGATAATTTTTTGGGATAGAGGTAGTACTTTATTTCAAAAAAATTATCAGTTACATAATTTTTTTATTTATTATATACTATTTCAATAAATGAAATTAAATAATTTCGTTAGTTGAGGGATAACTCATGGCCTATAGGCCATATACCAGATATGCATATTTCAAAGATGTGTCATTACTTATTGGTTCGTTTGATATTTTTATTTTGTTTTTTTCATTAATTAAATCAATTTTCATTTTTATTTCATGCAATGACCCTTTAAAATATATACACTCCCATCATTCAAAAAAGATTATCACAATTTGACTTTTTTGAAAAGTTATTGTTATACTTTGACCACAAATTATGTAAAAAAAAATATATTATATTCAGTTATAATGTAAATTTCGAAAAAATTAGGTCAATTTTAAAATATTGTTTTCAAATTATTGAAAACTTTCATTTAATTTGTAATCAAGCATAGTTTTACCAAAAAGTCAAATTACGATAATCTTTTTGGGATAAAAGTGGTACATAGATTAAAAATGTTACAGTAATATATTACATTAAATGATTGTATATATTTTAGAGTTTTTCAAATATATTTTTTAAAATATGCTTCGTACATAAAAAATGATTTTACAGAGTACAAACTTTATTAATCTTTTAAAAAAGAGAACTTTATGTGGGCTTTTATAAACTGTTGATCATTTTTCCTTTTATTTCATCTCTAAATAATGGTTTATGCAAATTTTAATATATGTAGGTGATGGATACCTTGAAATGGGGGTATTCGGCCCAACAAGAAAGCGGCCCAGCCCAATCGTGCCTAGGCCCATCTCGCTGGGCAAAGGCGGGAGGAAACTGAAGTCTCAGGAAGCCCACCCTTGCACCAAGTCATGCTCGGCCCCGGCAGACTTGGTCGGCCTCGGACCATCTTCGGCCGGCCTTCCGTCAGGGAACTTCGGGAGACAAATTGCGCGTACTCGGCCTCGGCCCGAGGCGTCAGCAGACCAGAACCAGACATGGGAGCTGCCTAATCAATCAAGATGAAGGGGCCCACGATTGGACCCCTGCCCACACCTCTGGCAGAGTTGTTCTAGCCACCCTATTTGTAACCTATTTTGTATAGCCGCCCTAGGAATAATGATGTGATTAGGCGCCGCTAGTGAATAACCCAATCTTCGTGGGCCCGAACCGTTGGACTCTGGACTAACGGTCGTGAACCCTCAGTTGTAGTTTGCATATAAACCCTTCCCGGAGGGAAGGAAGGGGGACAATTCTCATTCGCACAATAATACTTGCAATCTACTTGATTCTCAACTTGTGCACACTCAGTTCGATACTCTTTCGCCTAGTTTCCTAGGCCCCGGGTTCCTTGACCCAACAGTAGGTATTATGTATATCAATATTAATTGGTGCAAGATTACCATTCTCACACTTATAATGTGGATTACGGCTTTTGAATGGTCACTCCTATTTTTGAGCATATAATTATTTTTGGATGACTACAGGCAAGTACTAAAGACCTAGACAGCGGAAGGGACGTGTGTTGGCATGTTCGCTGTTAGGCCCTGTGTTCTGGCAGGCTTGATAGGGCTTGACGCGGTTTGACGGAGTGTAAAAATATATGCTATGCTGAGTAGGTGGATCGAATGACGGATGAAAATACATCCACCGATATCCGACCCAATGTCACTCAATCCATCCATCGCCCGAGTATCATCAAATATATTTTGGGGGTTTCGTCCATTTTATTGACTCGGGTCCATTTCATTAAGTCGGGTGGTCTGAATCTCCATTGGACAAGGATGAGATTGTCATCTCTACTACCTAAAACTCTAAAAGGATAAATTGTATGGGGAGCACTACAAAGAAATAAATTACCCCGGAAATTAGACTCCAACACTATGTACAATTGGACAAAATGTTTCGGAGTACAAACATCAGTATATACTTCTATTGCAAAACCAACATCACAACCCCAAAAATAGTCTCATTTGACAACTAGACAAAGGTTGAAGGACCATTTGCCCCCCCCCCCCCCCCCCCCCCCCCCCCCGAAGACCTTCAAATGCAATGATTCAAACAATTGAATTACTGTTAGAGATAAGTTCTCAACTCCATGTCTGCAAAAGATGAAATGTTCCGTACATGGCTAAGGTAGGGCCACAATAACGAGGACAATCAAATGGAAGCTCTTTGACTCCATGGCCAAGAATACTAGATGAATCTGACAAAGTAAACCAAGTCGAGTGAGAAATAATGAATTATGGAGGTGTAGATATACAAGACTTAGGGTCTATTTTTTTGGGTTCGAAGACAGTTATATGTTGGAAGAAACTCGGAGGAGTTAGAAGAAACTGGAATTAGTTGGAAAAAGTTGGAAGAAACTAGGATCATTTTTTTGTAGCTTTTTGGAATTATTTTTGTTTTGTTTATGTGTTTATATATAACTTTTTATAGCTTAATGCATTTTTTTAAAATTTAAAAGCTATAAAAAGAAGTGAAAAAAATAATATACTGTGACTAGAGTTTGACTTTGAGTTTGGAGTAATTTACTGCATTTTGGGTTTGTAGTGCATTTTAGGTTTGAGTTTGGTATAATGTGTTGGAGATGGGTCTTAGACTGTGTTTGGTTGGAAGGGAGGGGAAAGAGGAGAAAAACGAGATTGATGGTGAGGATTAGAAAGTTTTTGAAAACCTTTATAATCCTCACATTCCATCTCCTCTCACTCCCCTCCAACAAAACATAGCCTTAAAGCCTTAAATATTACTCATATTTTTTTCTCATGGAAGAATGTTTAGATCAAATGTTACAGTTATATCCGCGCCATAATCAACTCAATGCTTCATTCTTACCTCCTTTAGCTATTAGCATTGAGTAAGTATCTCTGCACCATCTTGTGTTATTAGAATGGTGTGCTCAAATTGTGCAGACAGGCTACCATCTTCTGTGACAGCAGTCCACTTGTCATCCCACATTATAGGGTGTATGCTACCAATTGTCAGCATTGGTTCTGTGCAGACACCCCCACATTAGCATGGGTCGACATCAAGATGAACAGATTTAGAAGTGACAATGCAGAAAGGGAAAGTTATGAAACGAAAATATTACCAATTGTGAAAGTCTGATTGAGAACCATGTGTCCTCGGACATTGTTCCCTATAAAGCAGGGAGAAAGTATCACGCACATCGAATATGGGTAGAAAATTCTTTTATAAAAGCTAAAAAATAATAGACTTTCTCCATCCCGAAATAAGGCTTCACAATTGATCAGGCACTCTTATAAATAAAGGTGAAAGTGTCTCATTGATTTGTGTGCTCATTGATTTGTGTGCAGAGGAGAAAGAAATTGCTCATAATTCCTTCTTCAAAAGGAAAGAGGAACCTTTTTTGGAACAAACAAAAAAAAGAAAATGTGGAAACTTTTTATGGGATGGGGGATATGATTTTCATCAAACTATGTCAAGTGAAAAAAAAGTCAGTTTTTTTTTATCTTTGGCTAGAAAAGACAAAGATGGAATATCCCAGCAGGGCAGAGGGGCGGAGGGGGTAGAAAAGTTACTGTAATGTAGAATAACTGGATCACTATGAAAAAACCGTCCCACACCATGGCCAATGAATTGTTCTACAACACCATAATAATGCTTATCTGCAAGGTCACTGCATATGGAAAAGTTAATGCAAAGCAAAGATGAAATATATAACAGATCACATATTCAGATATTTAGAGCCCGTTTGGTAAAGGTTACTTTTCTGAAATGATTGAATCTATTGTTTTACAAATAAAAAGCATTTGGTAAACTGCCAGACAAGCATTTAAGCAAGTCAAGGACACCTATTCCACTACCATGCTAATTTGCTAATAAGAAGAATAAGCCAAATAATGCTGCCAAACGGGAGCTTAATATGACTGAAAGATTGTAATAGACTAATAGTGTTACAGGTTCAAAATTATGGAGACAACTCACTGTATAGTCTTGCCAATTTTGTTGAATTCTACTCCTGGGCCACAAACTGATATTGCTTTATCCAAGCAATCTTTGGTCACCTAATTCATGAGGAAATGAATTGCAGTTGATATAACGGTACCTAAAAGTATAACTAGATGACTAGACAATTACAAAGAGATGAGAGCACGGTGGTAATGATAAGAACAAATGTGCAGAATGTAGATGTGTATATTGCATTGCATGATGCGCCTAGCATAAGAAATAATAGTCTACTTATTCAAAATACAGCTGCACTTTGAAAAATGTGCTCTTTATTTCTCATAATGATGTCTTAATAGAAATGGCTTGTTAGCAAATTTGACTTATTGGAACCAATCAAACTGAACAAGGAACAAACTGATACCCTGATGCTTTGACACAAGCAAGCCTGAAACCGCAGATATGATTTAAAAACTCCAATGGGTTTCAAAATTAAGCTCCAGATATAACCGAGAATCAAACAAGTAAGAAGAGGCTAGAGAGTAGTAGTTCATACAATCAACCACGAAAGCAAAACCATGAGAACACAGAACCTTTGATTTTAAGTGGGCCCGGTCATGCTTCTAGTGTGTGGATCAGTGTGTGTGTGTGTGTAACAGTTCCTAGTAAAAGGGGGAAAATACATGTAAATAAGAATGTGCATCTCCCAACCAAAACTACCTGCACCAGGTTTCTGGCCTCCTCATCAACATCTCCAACAAAAAAAGTAGCTGATGTATCACCATGGTAGCCCTGTATATAAAAATCAAATAGACACTATAATGATATACGAAGTACATGCAAGTGGTGCAATCACTCTATACAGCATGGTATAACTTTAAACGCAATGATGAGTGTGGGGTCCATCTAGCTTACAGCAAAATAGCCAATATTGAGATATGAATAACACCACAGAAACTTACCTTAAGATACACAGTAACATCAATATTGATTATATCTCCATCCTATAGCATCAAACATAAGTGGTTGACCAGAGAAATATCAGATATAGTGTCCTTAAAAGTTAAAGAAAAATTTAAAATATATAGCAAACCTTAAGTGGCCTTGAATCAGGGATTCCATGACAAATGCACTCATTCACAGAGGTGCATACACTCTTTGGAAATCCGCCATAACCAAGAGGTGATGGATATGCTCCATTTTCAATGATCATCTCGTGAACTGCTTGATCAATTTCATCTGTTGTGATGCCTGGCTGCCATGAGATTTAGCTACAAGATTTAAATGAGTGTGGGGTACCATGATTCTAACTTTATGCAGATGATCCTGATTTACTGCTCACTCATTTTCAAAATTATCCGAATTTGTTCGAGAATTTTTTGGAAGGTGGTGAAGAGGCTGTCTGACCAATGTACAGGGATAGTTCACACAGTATTCCCAACGGTATAAGAGAAAATGCTAGAGAATTTTTTGATATAGAAGCATCAATTTAACAATTCAAAAAAAAACATTGAAAAAAGAAAGACTAACAAAAGAGCCCAAAGGAAACATAAGGCAGAATTTTTTTCATCAATAAACCATTTGTTTAATATGATAATATTGGAAAATTTGGTTACACGTTGATCTCAGTGCATTTACTTTAAGCATAAATGGCAGCATGTAAACTAATATGAAGTGCCCAATTTATGGTTTCTGTTTTCCCCCATTATGATAAACAAAAAAAAGGAATAAAGATCTCATTAGATGCCACCTTGGTTAGGGTCCCTGCATACTGAAGGACTTGTGCAGCAAGCCTTCCAGAAGCTCTCATCTTCTCAATTCCATTTTTATCCTGTATTTGAGGTACACTGGAAACCTTAGGCGGTTTCTTAGAACTCACATATGGGGGCCTTTGTATGTGATCAGGAACTGGTCTACAAGGAGAGACTTTTCCTGGCTTCAAAGGTTCACGCTTGCCATTAGGAATAGCATTTACGTTTCTGGAAATTTTGGTAGAAATCAAGAACAGAAACATGAGAGAATTCTTGGACAGTAGAGTGTAGACATACTAAAAGAGTTAAGGTCTTAATTAATCTAAGGGTGGGGTTCCAGTGCCACTAGCGGTGCCACCGGCATTTTGGGGCACCTCTGGTGCTCCGTTCGCAAAATTGACGATTCCTACCCCCCCTAACCCACCCCCTAAACCCCCCACCCTACCCCCGCCCCTGCACCCCCACCCCAACCCAACCACACATTTTGTGGGGGGCTTACGGCGGGGTTGGGGTGGGGGTGCAGGGGCGGGGGTAGGGTGGGGGGTTTAGGGGGTGGGTTAGGGGGGGTAGGAATCGTCAATTTTGCGAACGGAGCACCGGAGGTGCCCCAAAATGCCGGTGGCACCGGATTCCAGTGGCACTGGAACCGGGCCGTTAATCTAAATGGAAAAAAAAGTCAATTCAGCGAATGAAGAGTGAAGAAGCACAAGCAGACGGCATAAAGGGTATGAGTATAAACCAATTCACTTGAAGGGCAGCCCTGTGCACAAAGTGTCCCCGCGAGCAGGGTCCGGGGAAGGGTCCCACCACAAGGGTGTAATGTAGGCAAACATTACCCTGCATTTCTGCAAGAGGCTGCTTCGAGAACTCAGAACCCGTGACTACACTGTCACACGGAAACAACTCAACCGTTGCGCCAAGGCTCCCCTTCAAAAACCAATTCACGTTCCTCAAAAAAAGTCACTTGAAGAAAAAGCTTGTGACCATAGTAACTACTACTCTACTAGTAAGCATTATACCATGAAAAAAAAAAATAATTATAGTAATCTATTGTCTAGGTCCTACTTTAATTCTATAAATGCACCAATATTGTGGATTTCAACATTGGTAAGAGCAAATCCAAGAATAAGAATGTTGCATAAGTCTACATATTGCTAAAATGGCAAACCTTCTGTTAAATAAGAAATTTGACAATCCCGAAAAAGTTCTCGCTCTTTGCATCAGTAAATGTTTATTTCCTGAAAGGGAAAAATAACAGTTTAAAGTTTGAAGGCGAACCTCATGCTCATTCTAAGACAAATTAGACAAGATGCACCAAGTAGAAGCCAATAGCCATGTACAGTACCTATATAGGTTTAGGAGCATGTTTGATAAGGCCTTGTTTGGATTGGATGCAGCATGGTTACATAGTGTATGGTATGCTATTGGACTAGTATGGTAATCATGTCTAGAAAGCCGGTATGGTATATAAAGCTAACGTATGGGGTATAAACATAATCAGTGATCTAAAAAGTGCTATGCATCCCCTAGGCAGTAGACTAGAGCCTAGTGTCTAGGTAGGGATGAGGCCTAGACAGTCTTGGGTGGGAGGAAATCATAGACCGCTAAGGGAGGCCTGGCACCTAGGAAAATAAGAACTACCATACAATGTTATGGTTTGCTCAGATAGTTTATGATTTAATATGAATGCAATAAAAGATGGGTATAAATGTATGATAGGAACTGAATTTTATAAACCATGGAAAACCATAAAACTGGTGGACCTAAGATCTTTGGAAAACCGCCTGGATTTTATAAACCATGGATTTGTTGGTATTTTTGGGCATTTAAGTGACCAACTTTAGACATAATTATCAATGGGATCCATTAACGGTCTTGACCGTTAATTAATGGGCATGTGTTCTCCCTAAGTGAGACAAACATTTTGATATATTATACACCAAAAATGGTGATCGGGTGAATGAGAAATTGATTCTCAAGGTTGACCCATTGAGTGCAAAAAGAGATGAAGTTTTATGTGGACTTGTCCCACATGGGAAACTTACCACATAAATGCTCCAATATATAAGTGGGAGCATTTCGTAATTAAAAGCTTTGTGGGGGCTACAAAAAGAAAGCCTACGGGTGCATCGCGGTCTATTCGGCACGGCACCCACGTTCCACGGCCATGGGCCTTGAGCTCTAGGTGTTTAGGCAAATTATATCGGCTCCGTTCTCTAAGCTCGAAGGCAATGGCGTTATTCTTTTTGGATCAACCTTATACCAACTTATAGGTTTTGTTCAAATTAGTACCAATTCCGAAGTTAAGTGGTCATTAACCTCCAATCTTTTGGGAAAGGATTTGAACATCTCCAATCTTTTGGGAAAGGATTTGAACATCTCCAATCTTTTGGGAAAGGATTTGAACCTGGCATCTATAACGGGCGGCACTAAAGATCATAAGTGGTCATTCAACCTCATTAATCCTTCTATTTTGAAAATTGAAGAGCCTCTCATTGCCTATTAATTCTGGGCATCTTCCTGAACGCCAAAAGAGAGCAGAGAGACAGTCTAAAATTCTTCCAGCCTTCTCACATACGATTTTCGGTCGGCAAGTGTTGTAGCAGAACTTTTGTGTGTAGGTGCTAAGTGCGTTTATACAACACGTTAGCACGATAGTGAGTGCCCACGTTAACCGGTACGATAAGCGGGCGCTTCTACCTTGAGAAGAGCTCCGACGATCCCAATCTTCTATTTCCCGTTTCAGGTACTGTCTCCTTCAAGATGTTCACTGCTCCAGTTAGTTGTCCATGCTACTCGCATTCTGTTGTCATTCTATTTCGTGACCGTCACTGCCGTCTTTTGCTCGCTGCATCAGCAAGTTTCTCCCATCAGACACTCAGTTCGGCCATCTCCTCCTTGCTTCCGCTCACTTAGTGCTCCGGCTAGTGTTTTATTTTATTCATTTATTGTAATAATCCGAATAAACATATGAGTTCGGATAAATTTATTTCCGTTCCTAGTCGAGGCTGTTCATATCCCCTTCATTGTAAACATCAAATAGAAACAGGATTTACATTGAAAGACGCACCATGTAAACTGGAAATGGGAACAAATATCGCTATCCAGTTTATAAACCATGGACAACAGTGATAAGCAGCATAACAAACGAGACCGAAAGGGTTAGTAGCTGAGATGAATCATGGTCGAATCTAAATTTGGTATAAATCATTTCAGTCAAATAGGTATGTCAAGAACTACTAGTTCTCCTCTATTGTGATCATTGCTTATTCTGCTGATAAGTGAATAGGCATAACTGTTTAGCCTACTCGTTATAATCTAAGGGGCACTACTGGCGCATAAGGATGCAAGGGAAGTGCAAATGTGAAATTCTAGCAAACAGTTGGTGTGCGTTTTACCGGATATCACATATAGAAGAAAATTAGAGAGTGTGAGTGGACCTGGTTTGCCGGTGAAAAGGCGGTGGAGTGAATTAGCCGGCGAGAGGAAGCTCGTGTCGCCGACGAATGTCGAGAGGAGACGGGGTTGAAACGACGCCGCGGTTGCACCCATTCTCTTTCCGCTGCTTCTGAAGTTTTGATATTCTTCTCTGTCACCGTAGGTTCTTAGCTTTACACGACCATTTGCCTAATAATTTTAATTTTGTAATTAATTTGGTCAAAATAGAAAATGAAAAAAATCAGTTTATAAACACGCAGAAATATGTTATCAGTCAAATTATAAATTAAGAACTACCTATAAGTAATTTTGAACAATTTATAATTTTGATATAAGGAGTATCAAAATACTTCAAAGATTATTTAGAAATTAGAACAAATATGAATGTTACATGTATCTCAAAGATACCTTGACTCCATATATATAGAGTAAGTTTTGTATGTACATGTCTGTTGTGAACAACACAACTTATCGTGAGTATCAATCGCCCAAATGAGAGATCACAATTTCAAGTCTGTAAGAAAAACACAACTCTCTAAGCTTTAATAGATTGAGAAAATGGTATATATTCGTAGCTAGTAACAAAGTTAATACAGATAAAGAAAAGTACAATTGTGAGTCTATTTGACTCGTGTATATTGCGTTCAGTCAAACTACTTTATGATTCCATTTAATAAAAAAATTTAAACGAATTAACCCTCTGACAAAATGTATCTTTACAATGTTATTGAGATACTATATGACACGTTTATTAACACATATTTCTAGAGGCATATTAACTTACTCATCTTGTTTGGTAAGTACAAAAGTTATAGTTCTAAATTCTCCTCGTAACGAACTTCTTTTTAGTTTGTTTGGTGAAACATAAAAAGAATTTAGGTATCTCAATGGAATGTTTTGATATCTTCAAAATTTAGAAGATATCAAAATGAGAGTTTGACATTTTCTTCAACCGTCGACAATCCTCTGTTGCCGGCTACCACTATCACCATCAACTCCCCTTGTTGTCGGCCACCCCACCCATCACTAATAAAATCAAGATCTCAAATCTTTTCAAACAACTTTATTAATGATTTCAATCTGACTTATTTCATATTTTTTGCTACGAGACTAGCTAAGGATGTGTTCCATTCACCTAATGTTATTAAATTTGAAATGATTTTTTTAAGTTCTAGTCTGATCTGAATAGATTCGAACAAATATTATTGGATATAATCTGACCTAATTAGATTTGAAAAGATTTGATCGGATCTAATATGATCTGATTGAAGTTAACATAAAATTACTATGGAATACCCTCAATTTTTTATTAGGGGCTTTCAAATCGCACATTATTTAAAAAATACTATGGGGGCACTCAGTTTTCTGGTAAGAAACATTGTTTGAAATATACTACGGGTTCTTAAAATTTATGATATTATATTTTGAGGGTACATTACGTCCATTTAGGTATCATGATTGAAAGTTTTGTTTGTAACGCCCCAAAATATATCCTAGAATTATTAATGAATAATTATTCAAGTAATCAAATTGTTTTGATTAATAATAATAATAATAATTGTTATTGGGCTTTGGGCCGAAATGAAATATGTTTTAATATCCAATATCAAAATCTGGATAAGTCTCATAAAGATAAATTCAATATGTTGACTTATTATGTGACCTCACTTGGGAACCTGAGTACAGACCCAAATCAAGGATAAATGAAGAAATTTGTTTATGATATGAACTTTGAAATGATTTATTAGAATAAATCATGAGAATAAATAATATGAATGAAATGTAAGAACTTTTTTGAGTAAAGGTCAACTAAATCAATTTTGACTCTATCAAAGTCAACCACCCAAAAATATGATGTCGGAAAAAGTATTACAAATAAATATGAAAATTATATCGTTCGATAGAACTTAATTGTACGATCACAACGGTGTAAACGGATTTCAATTCGGAGAAAGTTGGACCTAAAAGTGTTCCCCGACTGGGACCAAATTAGTCCCAATCAGGGACTTGCTTTTGGAATTATAGAGATAGGCAGTCCGCTCCACTGAGACGCCAAAACAAGAGAATGGAGTCATCACAGTGTCTTCCTCCTCTTCCTTCTCCTATAAAAGACTACCACAACTCCCTCCATTCTTCACCATTTCTTACAAACTTTCTATCTAATCTGTTGCTGGGAGTGAGGAGAACGCAGTGGTGCTGTCATATTGGTGTGAGGTCGCCGGAAAAGCCACAATCCTCGCCGGAAAATCTTCAAAACCTTCATTTACCTTCGAAGTAAGCCCGTTGATATATCTAATGATCGACTAGAATGTTCGTATAGATCATTTCTACGTTCATAAACGGTCGTTTGGTTGAGTTTTGTGTTTGACATGTTTGAAGAACTAAGAATGATAAACCTTGAATTTGATGTTAAAAATATGATTTAATGATTCTAAAATGATCTATGAACCTTAGAAAATATCTCTATATAGTTTAATTGAAGTTAAGTGACTAAAACGGGTTTTCCGAAAAATGGACCGAGGTTGAAGATGAATGAACAGTAGCTGAAAAACTACTGCCTGGATCGATCACATGCTCTGGATTGATCCTCTGGGAGTTTTTCTTCTAGTTCGATCGATCTAGAGGGCTGGATCGATCCTCTGAAATTTCTGATCCGAAAAAATGTCTGAAAATGCTATTTTTGGACTCGAAAATCCTATTTTTGATACCAATTGATTGTGATCATTATAAGAATTATTTTTCATAATAAAAATGATGTTTTTACAAATTAAAACATTATATGATACATGACGGTAAGTTCGGGTGTTAACACTCGAGACTAGGCCGCTAATTGTTATTAAACATTATGTTGAATGACGATTATGGTGAATAATTATGAATGATAAACCTACTGATTAGAATGATTATTGATTATTAAATCATGACTAAAAATGAATATAATGGTGATTATGAAAACAATGTATATTGTTAAGGATATCTAGAAGAACTCTAAGATATATCCACTTGAATATTGACGATGATTATTAGGGATATCTAGAAGAACTCTAAGATATATCCGCTTGTATATTGATGATGATTATTAAGGATATATAGAAGAACTCTAAGATATACCTCCTTGACCAATTCATATTTCGGGTTAAAACGTACGTATGGGATCCAGACCGGATATCACCCACCCGACAGATCACTGTTCGGTTTGGTACGTAATCTACGTGACTCATAGGGTGGATTATCGATTCTTGTGTTCTGCATTAAACTATTTATAGTTTAAGAGCCTGGTTAGAATTACTGCCTTAGACTAGGAATAGTTAAGAGCTGAATATAAAATGATGTGGCCTTAGATTAAGAATAATTTAAGAGCGTTATTGAATATCAAATGACTTGGAATAAAATATTGAGAATATTATGAATGTTTGAACCATATATTGTGTGCATGATATCAAATGGTTGATTATGAATTGAGATTCAATTTATGTGGATGTTCGACGCTTTAGATATGTTACTCAGCTTCACCGCTGAGCGTGTAGTGTATTTTGTTGCTATACGCAGGTAAACAAAATGAATGAAGTGATGATTCCTGGAGGCAGACGGGAGCGAGATGGTTGGGGTGGATATGTGAAATGAATTGAAGTTTTAAGAGACATAAAATTATTATGTTTTGTAATTATTATATATTCAACTTCCGCAACGTTAAACTACTCCGTTATTACCTTAGATAATTTATTATTGAATAGAGTTTTTAAATGTTTGAAATATTTTGAATGTTTACGAATACCAAGTTTATACTTTAGTCTGAAAGGAGCTGCAGACCTGGACGGATTAGGGTGTTACATTGTTACTTTGACAAATACTAAATTTTACATTGATAAATATTGCGTTGAGAATACTGTCGAGTTTTGTCCCCAACTAACAGCCATAAACACAGCATCAAGAAGACATTAAAACTTATACTGATTTTTTGTAATAATCCTTTCTAATAAAGTATTTTCCCAAATTAGGCAATTTTTAAAATAAAAATCATTAAATATGGAAAAATAGTTTTAATTCTTACATGATGAGAATGTAATGAATAATAAAACTATAAATATAACTTTATAAATTTAACAACAAATGTTTAAGATTGTTTACAATTTTTAGTAGAATATATGTAAATAAAATAGTTAACAAACGTTATTTAACTACTCCCTCAATTTTGAAATAAGACTCCCATTTTGGTTTATGATGTGTAACTGAAGTTATATTTGAAAAACATAACTGAAAAATGGTCTAAAGTTAAAAAACACACACACGAAATTTTACAAAACAAGCGTAAGACGACTACCCGTATTTTTTAAAATGATAAAAATACTCCCTCCGTCCTCAATTTGATTACAAATTGCGGGTTACGGAGTAAAATTTCATACTTTTGAAATCATTTTATTTACAAATTGGTATATCATCAAGATATAAAAATTATATATTAAAAAACTACGTCAAAAGTTCTACAAAACAAGAGGTGACAGGAATATTTTATTTTATCAAATACTTAATAAAATCGCGTAAACAAACAAAAGTTATCGAGAGTAGAGAGAAAAAAATTGTAATCTATTTAGGGACGGAGAGAGTATATATATTGAGAAAATATATTTTGTTTGATCATGTAATATTAAATTTTTACGGAGTAAGCTATAATATCTATATTAATAAAAATATGAAAGGTCAAAGTGTTGGAATGGAGGCCGTGAAAATCAAATGAGACAAAAATTTATAGACGAAAAAAGTAGGTCATAGATTGAACACAATCTAACATAATCTTTTAAGAAAAAATTCACACAAATACTCCAACAAACATGTAGTTTTACGTTAATACTAATTTTAATAATATATATCATTGCTCCCAGAAATTACTCAATTTTACATCAATAAGATGAGTTGTCAACTATATTGAATATATGTGGCATTTTTCAATGGTGATTGTGTAGTTAATTAAATATGAGTCAGTCTCTAATAAAAATAAAGAAAATACATTGAATACGTTATAAGCAATCATTCTCCCACTGCCTATTTAACATAAAATATGTTAAATTTGATAATCGAAATGTGTTTATATTATCACATAACTTGAGAATAATGTTTTAGATAAGAAATTAGAGATTTTGGAGTTAATATTTTGTAAGATATAGTGTTGAACTCATCTCGTAAATACATGGCCAATGAATATAATTTTAATTATAAAACATAAATTCTAAACATCTTTTTTTTATTCGAGGCATTATTAATAATATACACCAGACATTATAATGTTTGGTGTAACATTATATTATGTCACGAAGCATTTGCCGAGTGTGCGAAATACATTTTATTTGTGTTGCTGAGGATGATCGAACAAGCTAACATATCAATCTGTTTCTTTCTTTCTT